AGAACAGTATGGAGGAAACTATCCCCAGGATTCAAAGATCTCCCACCAGGTCCCTCCCACAACACGTGGGAATTATGGGAGCTACAATTCAAGATGAGGTTTGGGTGAAGACACAGCCAAACCATATCACCCAGATACAGAGATAGGCAGATATTGATGGGCAGGCATGTGCTGCAAAGTTAAGCAGACTCAAATGCAGGTTCTGCCACCTGCTCCCTGAGTGATTTTAAACAAATTGCTTCACTTCTCAGACCCTCCGTTTTGTCACTTGCAAAATGTAGTCAATAATAGCTCTCTTGGAGCAGCTTTGAGGATTAAAGAAAACAAAATATGTAGCATGACTAAACAGAGACAAATGATTTTAGCATGAATGAGAAAGTGGTGCTGTCTTTATGGTTTAAAAAGTCGATGTGTTTAAAGGGTTGTTCAAGCTCTGATGATCATTTTTCATAAACTGAATAAGTCCCTTCTGTTATTTCAGGAATTCCAAAATGGGCAGTGGCCTTAAATTTGCAGTGCAAGACAGTGTACTCCTGCACATTTTATTCTAGTTTAAAAGCTTTATAACAAGCCATTCACCAGGAATAGGATAGAAATGTATTCACTATGAGGCTGGGTGAAGTGGTTCACACTTGTAATCCCAGCACTTTGGGAGGCCAAGGCAGGAGGATCACTTGAGCCCAGGAGTTTGAAACTAGCCCTGGCAACACAGTGAAACTCTGTCTCTACAATTTTTTTTTTTTTTAATTAGCCAGGCATGGTGGTGTGCGCCTGTATTCCCAGCTACACAGAAGGCTGAGGTGGGAGGATTGCTTGAGCCTGGGAAGTTGAGGCTGTAGTGAGTCATGATCACGCCACGGCACTCTAGCCTAGGCAACAGAGTGAGACCCTGTCCCTAAAAAACATATAACAAAATAAAAATAAAATAAAATAAATGGAATCACTATGGCTCAAAGTCACTGTATTTAGGTATTTGGATACCTGGTCCAACATCACATGCTCAGAGATGCCCTCCCTAATCCCTGTTGCTCTATGACTCCCCACACTCTTCCACTCGTCCTCAGAGAACTTGGCCCTTCCTGAGCAAGCTGTAAACTTGCTTGTTTATGTATTTATTGTCTGTTTCCTCAAAGTATAAGTAAGATGAAGTCAGGGACAATCTGTCACATTCACGGCCATACACCCAGCACTTAGAACATTTCCTGACACACCATAAACACACAAAAAATCTGTTGAATAAGTAAGTAAATATGGCTTGGACTTTTTAAAGCTCAGATGGGCAAATAACATCCATTGCTGTGAAGGAAAGATTTACCTATTGAAGAAAATAAATATTGAGAACATAAAGTCACTCCTCAGATACTGTTATTATTGGAAGCCTTTTTTTATACAAGTGTTAGAAAACACTGGCTTGAGTCTGGGCACAATGGCTCACACCTATAATCCCAGCACCATGCGAGGCCAAGACAAGCGGATCACCTGAGGTCAGGAGTTCTAGACCAGCCTGGCCAACATGGTGAAACCTTGTCTCCACTAAAAACAAAAATTAGTCAGGCGTGGTGGTGGGCACTTGTAATCCCATCTATTTGGGAGTGTGAGGTAGGAGAATTGCTTGAACTCGGGAGGCGGAGGCTGCAGTGAGCCGAGATTATGAGATCATGCCACTGCACTCCAGCCTGGGTGACAAAGTGAGACTCTGTCTCAAAAAAAAAAAAAAAAAAAAAGAAAAGAAAAGAAAAGAAAAAGGAAAACACTGGCTTGGGTTGAGCTACATACAGAGAATCTAAGACAACACTGAGAGGTTCTGTCGCATTACTGTAGAGAGTCTGCCACAAACCAAGAAATTTCCATGAAAGGAGAGGGACACACATCTATTTCTGTGGCATAATTGCTGAATAGTCAGTAATTATTTGCTAACTTTTGGAATATACAAACAGAGTACAATGGAAACAAATACATCTTCCTTGTCTAACTGTTTAACCAACAGGCCAACTGGATAATGTACAGTATCTGGGTTAAGTTGTCAGTTTATTTAGGAGGATAAAATCCTCATTGGGAACAATATAAATAAATAGGCATAACTAAAGAACACAAAATTGAATTAGAAGCAGTAGTACCACTGACACCTTGACTTTGTGACAAGAATGGGCACTTAATTAGATATGAGCAGAGCCCAGAACCATATGAAGTGAAAGATCTGAGAATGATGCCAACCCTAAAACAACCTCTCCATAAAACATATTACAGATGTACAATAATTAAAGCAGTAAGCTATTGGAGTCAAAATAGGCTGATTTGCTGTTGGAACAGTTTCAATAAGAATTTAGTCCAGAAATTCACTCACTAGCCAGTAAGTTCCAGGGAGCAGGACTCATGTCTATTTTGTTCAACATTGTTTTCCGGAATTTAGTGCCTATATTGTAGTAGCCACTCAATAATTAAGTGTAGAAGTAATTACATAATTAGTGATGTGGAAAAATGAATAAAATGAATGAAAGTTTAAAAACGAAAATTCAATAGGCACAGTGCAGTGCCATATATATTCTATAGTTAGTATGTACACACAGGTATATAACAGGCACATAGATTCCCACAAAACATAGATATACCCAACTATGCTGATTTAGTATTCAGGGATGGTACTTTTATCAGTGATTTTCTTGTTCTAGTTGCTTATCCATTATGTCCCAACTTATATGGAATAAATGAATGTTAGTTACATAAAAAATACAAGAAATAGGCCAGGCATGGTGGCTCATGTCTGTAATCCCAGCACCTTGGGAGGCCAAGGTGGGCAGATCGCTTGAGGTCAGGAGTTTGAGACCAGCCTGGCCAACGTGGTGTAAACCCATCTCCCCTAAAAATACAAAAATTAGCCAGGTGACATGGTGTGCACCTGTAATCCCAGCTACTCGGGAGGCTGAGGTAGGAGAATCGCTTGAACCTAGGAGGCAGAGGTTGCTGTGAGCCGAGATCATGCCACTGCACTCCAGCCTAAGTGACAGAGTGAGACCCTGTTTAAAAAATATATATATATGAAATATATAATATATTGCTATATGTAATAATATAAGAAAAAATATTTTATCAAGTAACATTTGCCAAAAAGCCACTAAGAAAGGCTGTGAAGAAATGTCTTTAGAGAACATTTCATACAAGGAGGCTTCACTGTGACATGAATCACATAATCTGAAGGTCCGCTGATATAAATTAGCCAGCTATTACTGGGCACTTGAGTGAACACTAGTTTTGAGCCAATTATTCCACAATCAAGGCATTTTTAGCTGCACAGAGCTGAGAGCAGTGTGTTAATCAGTCCCATACAGCCTGAAGAGGGCGAGAGTCTAAGGAGAGTGTGAGCTTCAGTGAGGTCTATCCTCAAAACCAAAAGAGAACAGTTGTCTGCTGGGAAGGTAGAAATGGAAAATGAGGCTACAAAAATTAACATGTAAAAAACTATTATTAGGATTATCTTCTGTTTGGGGAAAGCGGAAAGAACATGGTAGTGGAAGGAACAGTTCCAAAAGATGATAAGGCCTCCAGTGGGAAGTCAGAACATCTCCACAGTCCACAGGACTGGGCAACATTAACATTGGCAGGTGACAATTAGCAGAAAATCAAAATACTGAGGGATGGAGGAGAACAGGTCCCCAGCTCCAGGCAGTGGGTGATGAGCCATTTGACAGAGACAGAAGCAGAGACACGGCAAGAAACGGAGTGAGGTGGAAGTGCTGTGGGGTCTTCAGAGGAACTCCAACCTTGGCAGGGACTTCACTGCACTTCCTGCAAGGCAGCGGCATCGCCAGCCGAGGACGGCAGCTGAGTGCCAGCAAAGGGATTGATATGGTTTGGCTCTGTGTCCTCACCCAAATCTCACCTTGAATTGTAATAATCCTCACGTGTCAAGGGCAGGGCCAGGTGGAGATCATTGAATCACGGCAGCAGTTTCCCCCATACTGTTCTCATGATAGTGAGTGAGTTCTCACAAGATCTGATGGTTTTATAAGCATCTGGCATTTCCCCTACTGACACTTCTCTTGCCTGCTGCTACGCAAGCCATGGCTTCCACCTTCCGCCATGCCATGATTGTGAAGACTCCCCAGCCATGTGGAACTGTGAGTCCACTAAACCTCTTTTTCTTTATAAGTTACCCAGTCTTGGGTATGTCTTTATTAGCAGCCTGAGAACAGACTAATACAGGGGTCCTGAGGAAAGGGGGAGTGAGTGGGAGGGAAGAAAAGCATGTCTCATCCCAGGACATTAGGATATATTGTGCTCAGTTTTAAAACACTGAAAAGCAAGACAATTATAACAGGCTTCTAGAAGCAGGTAATCCTGGAGGCAAAGCTGGGAGGCCAGGATGGATACGAATGAAGAAAGGAGGAAAGAGGACATCTCAAGCCAGGAAAGGATTATGTGTACTAACAAAGGCAGGAGACAGGAAGCCTGGCCATCTGACTAGAGTGAAATTTACACAAGAGTGTACTTGAGCAAGCCTCTGATTCGAGCCCATATCAAGAGAGGTTATCATCTGTCTCTCCATTACAGCGAATATTCTGGAAAATCTGAATGAACTTTTAATAATAATTTAATAATATTTATTTAATATTTAACATTAATAATGCTAATAATTTAATAACATAATACAATCTTTTAAACACTTCATAATTTAACAATCATTAAATTGTCCATCCTTTTTTCCATAGCGCTAATTTCTTATGCATAGAATATGCACAGACACACTCACAAAATGACACTTGGATACACACAGAGACACATGCACATACACTTAGACATAGACAAAGCACACACAATCACACAGACACTCACACGCCCGCTCCCAAACAGAAATACTAGTAGTGTTATACAGGCATACAATTGCATACTTTCATACATAGGCTCACTGATACTGATACCCTTGCATGCACAGATACACACACACACGCACACATGCACACTAACACCTTCACAACAAAATGTAAGATAGGTTCCCTCCTTACCTGGGCTTCAAGTATGTTAACCTTTTCTTTGAGATTTTCAATTCTTTTGTCTTGTTCTTTTAAATTATTTTTTAATCCTTCCATCTAATAATTAGAAAACACAATAGGAAAAACCTTGTCAGACCACAGGAAATAGTTACTTAAGTCAGAAATTGTATGGATTTCTGAAGTCAAAAGATGTTCATCAAATTTAAAAAAAATTAAATCCCACAGCATTAGCAGACTCAGCAGGCAACAGAAAGTAGCAGGCCAAATTGACACCTGGGGCTGAAAGCCCTCAGCTGGTGCCGTGATTCGCTTTAATCTTTGGATAACCTGTTTAAACCAAGTTCAGCAGGAGTGCATCCTATGAAAGCAGCACTGGCCGCCCTTCTGCGTCTCAGCAACTTGATGTTCTCATCCTGCAGATGCAGCTGCTGGTGGACAGGATGCAAGGCCACTGCCTGGTGTGCAGAGGCTCCCTGCGGTAGAGATTTGTCAAGCAGCAGCATAATAAGGTGAACCTGCTTTGCCAAGAGGCAATGTGGAGTCAGGAGGTGGGGTGACGAGATTCAAAGTGGTGAAAGAAGAGAGGGGACACATGGATTCTAAGACCAACTTTGGCACGACTAGCTGTCATTAAACTGCTCTATAAAAAGAGGGTGTGGGGTGCGCCCAAAGTCCCTCCTGGCTCTCAAATTCCACTACTCAATTATATGGCCTTTTAGTGAGGTCATAGCCAAGCAAGCACAAATGCTGTATCTGTGTCAGGAAGGCTCTGGAGTTATTTGGGAGGACTTCTATTTGGTAGTAAAGTAATTGAATAGAAGTCTGATTTTAAATTTTAAAACAGACCCCCAAAACCAGATCAATGCATATCTTGAAGTAGATTTTAAATACACACTCCACCATCTAGCTGGCTGCTACCACAGTTGCCTCTACTTTGCCACCTGTCAGGCTGCTCCCAGAGAAGAAGGGCCAGGCTACACCGGTACCCTAAATCATCTCCTAAATAAATTATGAGGTTATGAAAATAGATCATTTCATGCTCAAGGAAGGGCTGAATCTCCTGACCTGTGAAATTGTCTAAAGACCAGTGTACATTATTTGGCTCAGAATACTTTTAGAAAATCACCGAAACATCTAAAAAATAGTTACATATAATTTTCCAAGCTATCTTCATTGACAGTATTACAGGTGTTGGTGTTACAAACAAGAGAGGTCATTGGAAACAGAGCCATATTGCATGAGAAACAAAAAAGGATATGTCAGTAGGAAGAGAAATCTCATTGCTTCGAAAGTCCAGTCAAGCCACTCATATTTGGGCTCCACACCATAAACATATTGTTTACCAGATAAATACAGTTGATTAAACTGACCTTCTGGATGACACTGCGCAGGTTCTGATGTTGGGAGTGAATCACGAACTGCAGATGAGAGATCTGCTCCTGGAGAATGGAAATCTCCCTCTGAAGATCCTGGCAACTGGGAATACAAAGGAAAAAAGAGCAAGAGAAAATGATTGGCTCACACGTTCCATAGCTTGCCCTTACTGCTAGCCCTCCTCCACACCACACTACTACTGGGGATCAGGTAGGTAAGACCCCAGGGCTCCATTATGCCACACAGGACACACTGAAGATAAATAGCTATGAAGTGGGCTCTGATTTGTTTGGATTTGACTTGAATGAGAATATCAATTCATGTCAAAAGTTCCTTTCTGACCATCTGTGACTCTTCTAGCAGGTAGTGGAATCAAGTTGTATTCAGTATGATAAAGCACTTATATGCTAAATTACCTTGTCTGAGCACCCACAGACTTGGCACCCATCAAACTTCACAGACAATTGCATGGCAATAGCAGAGTCAGAACATGGGAGCAGAAAGGGAGATTTTATCTATTAATATATTTATAAGAAACCAATTTCTAATGATTTGGGCTTAGCATATGTTGTAGATTGTCTGTGATTGTCTTTTTTTATTTTTTATTTTTTGGCTTCCTACTTTTGGTAATTCTACTATTGGTCCATAGGGAAAGGGAGAAAAAAAAGAGAAGAAAGGAAGAAATTAAATTCCAGCAAATATTTTTGAGTCCACATCAACCATTATGGTAAAAAAAAAGTCAATTTTGAACTTAGATTATTTATACTTTCCCAAAGCTCCATTCAGGTAACTGGAATTGGTTACACTGTTTTGGCTATTTCTCTACTTGCTACTATTATTAGAGTTATGAAGCCACATACATTGTGACAACACTACCAAGCTTAGAAGCATTGTGACCTCAGAGAAGTCACTTGGCCTTTGCTCTTATCCAGTGTCATCCCAATTCTGTTTCCTTTTTTCATTTGTTGTTGTTGGTGGTGGTGGTGGTGGTTTGTTTTTTTTTCAGACAGAGTCTTACTCTGTCACCCAGGCTGGAGTGTAGTGAGGTGATCTTGGCTCACCACAACCACCACCTCTGGGCTCTAGCGATTCTCACAGCTGGGACTACAACCATGTGCCACCACACCTGGCTAATTTTTGTATTTTTAGTAGAGACAGAGTTTCACCATTTTGGCCAGGCTGGTCTTCAACTCCTGACCTCAGGTGATCCACCTGCCTCAGCCTCTACGTGTATCACAAAGATGGTGGAAATTCATAAGATACTATACAGCATGTTCTAATTAAAAAAAGGAGTTATCAGTTTCCATTTTGTTTCATATAATGGACTAAAACATTGTTTCAGAGAAATGCACATCTAAACCACTATAAGATACCATCTCATAGCAGTCATAATGGCTATTATTAAAAAGTAAAAAAATAACAGATGTTGGCCAGGATGCAGAGAAAAGAGAATGCTTTTACACGGTTCGTGGGAATGTAAATTAGTTCAGCCACTTTGGAAAGCAGTTTGGACATTTCTCAAAGTGGTAAAAACAGAACTACCAGTCAACCCAGCAATTCCATTACTGGGTATATACGCAAAGGAAACCCAATCATTCTACCAAAAAGATACGTATACTCGTATGTCCATCACAGCAGTATTCATGAGAGCAAAGACATATAAACAACCTAGGTGCCTATCAACAGTGGATTCAATACAGAAAATGTGTTACATATACACCCTGGAATACTTTGCAGCCATAAAAAAGAATGAAATTGTGTCTTTTGCAGCAACGTGGATGCAACTGAAGGTCATCATCCTAAGTGAATTAAGGCATTAAAAGAAAATCAAATACTGCACAATTCCACTTATAAGTGGGAGCTAAACACTGGGTAAACACAAACTTAAAGAAGGAAACAATAGATGCTGTGGACAACTAGAGGTGGAAAGAATGGAGGAGAAAGGGTTGAAAAACTACCTACTGAATACTATGCCTTGCTACCTAGGTGACAGATTTAACAGTAGCCCAAACCTCAGCATCAGGCAATATACCCATATAACAAACTTGCACATGTACCCCCGCAGGTAAAGTAAAAGTTGAAATTAAAACAAAAAAAGGAAGCTTTATTTTAATTGGTCCAATAGAGTCCTGGAAAGAAAAACAAAAGAAATTTACAATTTATAATTATAAAATAAATTATTGTAAACTTCCAGGACTCTTGAAAGAGACAGGAGGGGAAGATAGGAGGATGTTTGGGAGTACAGGCACAAGAAATCTGCAGGGAACAGGATGCCTAGGACATTGGTGAGGGGAGGGAAGCAAATGAGGGGCCTGAGAGAAGGATGCAGAGAACAAAAAGAGAAGGTACAAAATGATGGGGGAACAAGAACATGCATCAAGTGTGCTACTCTGTTTTAGATGATAATCAGAAACATGTCTGATTATCATACCTACACAACTAAATCTCACTGCAAAAGCCCATTTCCCTCCTCTTAATTAATACTACAAGCAACTATCAAATTAAGAAAAGCCATAAAAGAAATGTAGACTGTCAACACAGGCTGAAGGAAGATCACTAGTTCAGCTGTGCCGATATTTTATCTGCTTTTTATAACACGATCACTTAAAGGACCCCGTACCTGGCAGAAAGCCTTATCTTGGTCTTTCTCTCTTGGAGAGGGGCAGTAGGGAATCCAAACAACGTAAATGAGCAAGAAGTCCCTTGTTTTCCTTTCCACGGTCCATGGCAGGAAGTGTTTGAAAAGAAATAAGCTGATGCCTGATTCAGATGAAAACGCTTTGTGCCCATGTAATTTGAACTGGCAATGGCAGCAATACTGAGCTCTCACAGTATTTCCAAAATTCAAGTTCAGAGAATGGCTGCATCAGCACCAGCCTGTATTCACATTAGATTTCAGTTGTCCCTAGATTTGAGGTTCAGAGGCTTCTTGAGGCACGGGAGACTGACGAAATTTCAGGACCCCAGCGGGTGAGGCTCCAAACCCTAAGGATGTTGCGGGGAGATGGACGAGCTTTCCAAGGAGAGACCAGACTTTGGATGTCTGCAAACATTCCTAACAGACAGTGAGAAGGTTTACTGCCCACAGAGAATCTTCAGGGGCAGGATGTCTTCAGAAGTCCAGGGAGATTGGGAGCGTGCGAGGGGCAGGGCTGAGAAATCTGCAGATGTTGCTCAGAACCCTTGCAGGGTAGAATTGCTGCGAACATGCAGAGGATGGAGTAACTGAGGAGCCTCAGAAGAAAACCTCAGTTACTAGGAAAAGATGACTGGAGAATATAAAGATCAAAACAGGTCAGGCATGGTGGTTCACGTCTGTAACCCAAGCACTTTGGGAGGCCAAGGCGGGCAGATCACTTGAGGCCAGGAGTTCGAGACCAGCCTGGCCAACATGGCGAAACCCATCTCTATTAAAAATACAAAAATTATGCTGGGTGTGGTGACTCACACCTGTAATCCCAGCACTATGGGAGGCCAAGGTGGGTGGATCACTTGAGGTCAGGAGTTCGAGACCAACCTGGCCAACATGGTGAGACCCTGTCACTACTAAAAATAGAAAAATTAGCTGGGCGTGGTGGCGTGCACCTGTAATCCCAGCTACTGGGGAGGCTGAGGTACAAGAATCGCTTGAACCCAGGAGGTGGATGTTGCAATGAGGTGAGATTGCGCCACTGCAATCCAGCCTGGGCGACAGAGCGAGACTCCGTCTAAAAAAATATAAAAAATCAAAACACAGAGGGCAAACAGAAATTGGGTCCATAGCTGGTGCTAAAATTCAAAATTGCTCCAGCAAGGATAGTGAAAGAAGAAAAGATAAAAATAACAGAAAGAGCAGCTATGACCCACTTAATGGTCAGACTCAGGACTTTCCTGGAAGTAATGAGAAAGAGCTTAAGACACCTTGCAGAGGCAAGCTAGCTGTGAATATGCACAAAATATAAAAATACTGCAAGCTCTTAAAGGTGAGTATTTAAAATGGTTCTCTTTGTGTCCCATGACCTAGAACCTTGGAACCATTGGGGAAAAAAGATGGCTTGAGATACGGGGAACAGATGTTATTATTTTTCTATCAAAAATACCAAGCTCAGAAAACTTTCCCATGTACCCCTTGAAGATATTACCATAAAGTTCACTGTGGGAAAAAAAAACACCAAAAACTTGAAATTGGCCTCAAAGTAGAAGAAAAATATTTCTAGAAGCACTCTTGAAAACACAAGGCCTTGAGGCTTCACCTTATTTCCATTAATACGCTAAAACAGTGACTAAAGGAAATTGCAGAAAATCTCTATTAGGATTGTCCAATAAGCAGGAAGCCTAGTCATCCATTTAAGACCTTTAAATGTAAAAATATATCTAAGTAAGCTGCCACTTGATCCTCTTTTGAGCTTTGCTGTTTATCTTTCTGTTAAAGCACTTTTCTTTTCTTTTCTTTTCTTTTTGAGACAAAGTCTCACTCTGTCGCCTAGCGGCACAATCTCGGCTCACTGCAACCTCTGCCTCCTGGGTATAAGTGATTCTCCTGCTTCAGTCTCCTGAGTAGCTGGCATTACAGGCTCCCACCACCACGGCCAGCTAATTTTTGTATTTTTAGTGGAGACGAGATTTCACCATGTTGGCCAGACTGGTCTCGAACTCCTGACCTCAAGTGATCTGCCTGCCTCAGGCTCCCAAAGTGCTGGGATTACAGGCGTGAACCACTGCACCCAGCCCAGTCTTAATAAAGAGGTACACAAGCAAAACTGGAGGAAGAAAACGTAAGGAAGGGTCAAGTCTAAAAAAAGGAGGCAAATGTCTGTATCCAGGATTCCTGCTCTGCTTTCTGATGTCTCAACATAATTTTTGACCATGTTTTCCTCTACAATGCAACTGAATAAAGATATAAAGCAAATGTGGAAATTAAAGCAGAACTGAAAAGCTTTGGCTTCTAAGAAAATGTAGAAGACATGCTTTTCCCCATTCTTTCCACTAAGTACAACTAAAAGCCCTGGATATTGTATATGAAAAAAAAACACAAGAAGACTCTGAACAGTGGAGAGAAGAAGGCAGACTGGCTCCAGAACCTGGGATCCAAGAAATGACACAATGGTGAATCTTCTGGGGTTTCTTTTTATCTCACACATCCCAGACTTGGAGCTGGAAAAAAACAGCAGCCTGGAATGCCAATGGGGGCAAGCAAAAAAAAAAAAAAAAAGCCCCAACAAAAGGAGAAGAGAATCTCTGCCCTACCCTTTTGAGGGAGGGAATTGAGGATTCTCTCTCAATTCATCACTGAAGGAGGGGGAAGAGACAACTATTTCTGGTTCACTTCCTGTTAGATTCCTTAGCATTCAAGAAGAGAAGTCAATCCTATCTTTAACTGCAGAAATGTGAAAAGAAATTACTTTGCCTCTAATTAGCAACATGGGATGATCACAGAAGCCGCACCTGACAGGAAGCCCACCCTCAATTTCTGTACTCCCCAACGTCTCCCAAAGGGTTGGTGAAAAGAAAGTGAGTTCATGGAGAATTGTCTCTCCCTCCATTCCTCACGATACTCGAGAATCTATCTTTGGGTCAACTTATACCACAGAGGGTGGCATTACTGGATTTTCTCACAGTGCCCTCTGATCTTGTTATAGTGGCTTTTATTGGATTCTGTTGGCATCATGCTATTCTGTTTAGATGATGTTTTGAGGTAAGCCTTTGTGTTTATTACAAGGGGTAAGTTGAAAACATTATTCAGGGTTCTTTTTATGACCATACTCTGGCCTTATAGCTAGATTAGAAATAACTGAATGATTGCAAACACCTGATTGGTTTTAATCATGTGGAATTGTGACTCACAAAACTAATCATCATTTCCTGTTTGGGCTGGCTGCTGGAAAATTTAAAACTGAGTCAGTGGTCTCCTGTGAGCAAGTTTGTAGCATCCATGGGCCTAATTTTGTAAACAAACTTTATGGTATACCTATTATTTTATCTCCTTGTCCTCATTATCTAATTTTTTTCTAATTTAAGCAATCATATTATATTTTGCATAGTTTTTATAAATAACCTTAGATTTTCTTAAAAACTTCACAAAGGGCATGAATAGCCTGAGCATGGCCATATTTACACAGCCCAAGAATATAACACATTTCAGTCTTTATAAAGTACATTTATTACCAGGGATTCATATAGTAAGATGTTTATGAGAATGAAAATTCCAGAAGAAACCAAAAGAGCTAGGTGCTGAGACAAAGAAAGTAAAAGCAGCAATGAAAGCCATGTTGCAGGCTCCAAGAGGCTACTTCTGGGTACACTATAGATTTCAGAGGCATTGGAAATATGAATAGCCCTACAAAGAAATCCCACAGGATAGAGAAGATAGTGAGATTAGTGGCATCCTAGAGCTTCTTTGAAGCTATAAAAGAATCTTACTACCATCTGTGGGGACTCATATTGCCTTCTATTTAGGATCCATTGTTTCTCTGGACTTCCATGAGTGTGAATATCACTGACTATGGGCCCCCCATGGAATAGAGAATAACTAGGGACCACAACCACAAGAACAGAAGAGGTCAGATTCCCATTCCCAGGCCAGACTAAGGGAAAGAATCAACTTGGATGTAGGTGTAGTCCTGTTTGCATTTCAACAAAATTCATGAATGTGTCTATTTTCCATAAAATTCTTCTTTATTATTATTTTCGTTGGTGGTACCAAAGGCGTGCCTTGAGAGAACACTCCCACCCCAAACTACCACAGATAAATGTACAATTTAGGTAGCAACCATATGCTTTGACATGCAACCTCAACTTCAAGGTCTTTTCTCCTCTAAGGAGTTTCCATTCCTAAGCGGCATCTATGTAAATATGGAAGGGCCAACACTGTTTATTTTTACAATCCCTATTAGTCTGTTCTCATGCTGCTATGAAAACATACCCAAGACTCGGTAATTTATAAAGGAAAGAGGTTTAGTTGATTCACAGTTCTGCGGGGCTGGGGAGGCCTCAGGAAACTTACAGTCATGTTGGAAGGAGAAGTAAACATGTCCTTCTTCCCATGGCGGGCCAAAACCATGCAGCAAGAAATGCCAAGCAAAAAGAGGAAAAGCCCCTTATAAAGCCATCAGAACTTGTGAGAACTCACGAGAACAGCAGCATTGGGCTAACTGCCCCCATGATTCAATTACCTCCCACCAGGTTTCTCCCATGACACATAGGGATTATGGGAACTACAATTCAAGATTCTCATCTTTTTGGGTAGGGACACAGCCAAACCGTATCAATCCCAAATATGTTTCCCCAAAAGATAACTCTTAAAAAGGCCTGCATATTTGTTTGTGATGTGGCAGGGCAGAGGGAAAAGTTGGAAAATGGTCTTTTGCTAATCGTTACTCAGAGGAATGAAGAACCCAGTTTGAGAGATCTTCAGAGGTTTCCAGAAATAAAAGAAAGATGGTCAAAATCTTTTACAGTAAAATGAGCACATGCTTTGCTATGTATGAGAATGTAGGAGCGAAAACTCCCAGCTCTATAACTTCTGAGAGATTGAGCAATCTTGCACAACTCAATTAGAATTTCAGCTCTTTCCTGGAAAGGTGAATGCAAGGATTAAAATAAAGAAGGTACCTGAGGTTATTCTGAAAACTGCAAAGCATTTTACCTATGTCAATTACCAGTAATGGTAATAGAAATATGGAGTCAACCTTATTTTTAAGAAGACAAATCTTTTTAACTTCTCTGTCTTCTTTTTATGACCCTATCTATCTAATCTTAACCTAACAGAAACCCTCTTTTTTGTGGTAGCTTAATCAAGTCTCTATTACTTCAACCAAAAGAGTCTGATTCCTACTGATTTCATTTTCTTGTCACTTCAGAAACTGAATGCCTCTACATAAAGCTCAAAGTAATAAGTAATCACAAATATGTGTGATACCCACAATCTATAAAAATTGCATAAGCCTGGATGTTGAAAAACCTTTCTAGAAACACCAAACATCCACTTTCCCCAAGAAATTTCTAAAACTTCCTTAGGAGCTTTTAAAGAATTCTTTATAATAACTGTTTATATAGAATAGAAGTGAAAGAATAGATCAGGTTGGTTTTTAAAAGAGCTACATTGTTGGCTCAAAGACGGACAATAGCCCTATCACCAATTTTTTAAAAACACATTTTTTAAAGGAAAAAAAAATCAAACTTGGACGGCCTGAACTTTTAATGGAAGACACATACAAATCAGTAGTTCTGCTACAAGGAAAAGCTCTGCCTATTTAAGAAAAATATTAACTGAAGATTTACTTAGATTGAAGTTATGAATATCCATATGTAATTCCAAGACCTAAGGATACTTTCTGCAGTATTTCCTTCAATCTCTACAGAAATGTGCAGTGTTATAAAACTATCTTAGAAGTCCCCTGTTTTGGGCTACATGTTTGTCACAGGGAAGAAGCTAGGAAAATTAATAACTTATTGGAATCTTGTATGTTTCAAATGTGTGTGTGTGTGTGTGTAATTGCCAGGATCAGCCCATTTCTGGGCTTTGGCATATGTGGTCCAAAATGCAGGAATACAAGCCAGGCAGAAGGTACAACAGATGAGGACAGGTGGGAAAAAAGATAAAAAAGGAAAGGAAGCAGCACGGAGCCTGTAGGGGGGAAATCGAAAGACTGAGAAAGAGGGATGTCTGAGTACATATCATTGAATAAATGACATATCATTGAATTCTGTCCATAACAGTGCCTAATATCCTAGCAAACAATAGTTCTAGGATGACAAACTAAGATCTTGAAATTGATTTGACTTTGAACAATGTAATTATATCAGAACATACAATGATTGTGTTGGACTAGAATTTTTAAAAAATAAAGAAAAATCTCAGAAAATGTCTTATTATATGATTTATTACACGATAATACAGATACTTTTTCTAATAGCAGCTGAGTAGCACAGCGATTATGGCGATATCCACAAACCCACCCCCAGCATACTAAGGACTGTGACTGCTTGTAAACTGTGAGTATTTATAAGTCCAAAGAACTATGGATATTGTCCCTAGTATTTCCTTCACCCTACAGAATTAAGGAGTATCAGGAAACTATCTTAGAATTCCGCTTGTGGGCTGGCCAGTGCAATGTTAGCGGTAAAAGAAACTCATTAACTAAGACAGAAGCATCAGAGAATAAAGACCTCTCAAGCGTCCTCCTTAGCATAAACGGTAAACCAGGAGGTGCCAGGCTTACTCACTCATTCACTCTTCAGAAAGACTAACCTTCCCGTGGGGTTCCCTGCACCCCCAATGGACTCTGCCCCCTGCTCCCAACTGCTCTGTGATTCCTCTGAGTTTGAGGAAGGGGAGGCACATAACTACATGACTGTTAATCCCAGGAATTCAACCTTCCTCCTGCACTGTCAGTCATCCTATTTCTTTGGGGGACAGAAGACCTTCTGTTCCCTCGCTGGCATACCAGTGGACAGGAAAGAAATCAGGAACTGCTTTTACTTAACAGGTAGCTTCGCAAACCTTTTTCCACATGTAGCACTGGATTTGAGTTGCAGTAGCTTGTTTTCCAAAGACAGTTTTCTTTCTAGTAGTGTTCTCTTTTCCTAGGAGAAAATGAGATACAAATGTTGCTGAACTACATGTGTATGTTTGGTAAGGCCTTCCTCTTGTCATACTAGAACTATGGCTTGAGCTAAAGAGTTAATTTCCCATGTGCTGTTACTCTTATCTTCAAGGAAACCTAGCTGAGTATTCTCCTGTGTGCTTTACACATAGTTCAACTATAGGCCAAAAATAATTGTCTTCACTCTCTCACCTGCCTGGAGGACTTCTTTTGCTCATCTTCCAAGGCATTGCCCATAGCCTGTTCAGTTCAACCTCTCCCACTCACCTCTCCCCATCCTACCACACATAAACAGCCAGCTCATCCCTTGCTAGACCCTGGCTCTCCCACCCTTACATCTGCTTCCCCTGCATTAGATTGAGTTGTTGGTATCCAAGGACACTAGATACCTCTAGGTACTACGTGTCATCTGTCAGAAGGTAGTAAAACAATAAACATATTTTTGATGAAGGATCAAGGCCACAAAGGATACAAATGCTTTCCAATTAGGATACAGGAGAAACTCAGATTGCAATTTTATGATGTTGGGAAAGAATATGTTTTAAAAAGATGCCTTAATTTGATTATTAAGCCAAAGCCTTTCCATTCAAAAGGAAAACAGAAAAGACCATGAAAAACGAAGCTGAGATGACTGTGTTCATTTTATATTTGATGGCACTCAGCTGAAAAAAGGAATTTGGTGCTTTGGCCTGACGGTTTAGGTTGCCAAGTTGGAAAGAATCAAGGGAGATTGAAAAGAGGCAGGAATTGGTATTGGCAACTTGGATGGAATTGACTGGAAGACGTGTGCTGAAACTATCTATAATGCTGTTTAAAATTACTTCCTGCTGCAGCATCTCAGTGAGTAGTACAAAACAAGGCAGTGCTGTCTAGCAGAAACATCACAAAGATTGTACGTAGGGACTTAACCTGGTTTCTAAATTTTGGCCAAGGTTTTCAACTCTCGGGCCTTACCAATGTTAAGAAAAATTAACCCAAACTTGGAAATAAAAACAATATACAGCACGCAGTTTTAATGTCATATTGGGTCATCGTTTAATTATCTGACCCAAGATTTATTTAATTCTCTCAGAGAATTTTCCTCTGTTCGCTTTTATTATTTATTATTTGATTAGAGCCCTGGGTCTGTGAAGTTGCATGTAAATTTGTAGATTTCTGTCTGGTAGAAGACATAATCCCAAAGGTTATGGTTTAATTGCCTTAAAGAATATTAACTGTTTTTTTAAATTTAATCTAGTAATCCTATACTATTTTCAATTTTTCTCCAAAATGCCTATAAATGACTAGTTTCTGAAAATATTTTATTTAAACCAGCTTTCTCATCTTACTGTTTCCCTCATTAATTAATGAGTTACAACATTTGACATGTATTCATTCTATATTCATTTGACTCATATTTGTATCTTCTGAGTGTTCCTAAAATGGGGATAATATTACCTACATTGAAATGTTGGGATGATAGAGATAATATATGTAAAAGAGATACAGGCTTCCTGGCACATATTTGGATCTCAATATATAATAATTGGAAGGCACTGGTTACTTCATATCTTATGTGTTCTGTATGCTTTTTCAAATTTTTCTTATAGTATTCTTTGCCACATAAAAATAGCCCTGGAGTTGCCCTAGCTGTGTTCAAATTATTTCTGAGGGATCACAGATTTCTTCCTTCCTTCCTTCCTTCCTTCCTTCCTTCCTTCCTTCCTTCCTTCCTTTCTTCTTTCTTTCTTTCTTTCATTCTTTCTTTCTTTCTTTCTCTCTCTCTCTCTCTCTCTCTCTCTCTCTCCGCCCCCCCTTTCTTTTTTTTTTTTTTTTTTTTTTTCAGAGTTTTGCTCTTGTTGCCCAGGCTGGAGTGCAGTGGTGCGATCCTGGCTCACTGCAACCTCTGCCTCCCAGGTCCAAGCAATTCTCCTGCCTCAGCCTCCCGAGTAGCTGGGATTAAAGACATGCGCCACCACGTCTGGCTAATTTTGTATTTTTAGTAGAGACGGGGTTTCTCCATGTTGGTCAGTCTAGTCTCGAACTCCCGACCTCAGGTGATCCACCCGCCTTGGCCTGCCAAAGTGCTGGGATTACAGGCACGAGCCACTGCGCCCGGCCCACAGATACATCTTACAAGCGTATGATGAGACTTGGATTGTCAAAAAACACACCACAGATAATGTATTTTGAATTTGTAGGGTGAGGGAAAATGGTGCCTAACAAATGTTTAATAGTCTTACTCTTGATTAATGGATTTTCATAAACAGGGGTCAAGGGAACCAGACAACCAGACAAGTAAATGCTCTCCCTTGGCCAGGCTCTGCCATCTAGCTTGGGTTCTTTTTGCCTCCTCTTTGACAACACAGAAAATCTCACCATACCAGATAGCACTTTTCAGGCAATGTCTTCAGGAAAGGGAAAGGGAGTTCATAGCACCACACAGTGGGCAACCCACTATTCCCAGAGCCATACCTCCAGACAGCTCCAGGTTTCCCTCACCAGGCTGATCGGAGAAGGCACCAATTTCAATCATGGCCAAATGCTAACATCTAAATGTTTTGAAACCAACTCTATCATTTTTGTCCAGCATGAGAGAAGACGGGGGCATAACGGAAAGGGTTGTGATGTAGAAAGTGGAGGACTGTGGAACAGTTTCAGGTTCATGCTGTCCTCATTTATAAAATGATCATGAGGAACTAGGTGGTCTCAAAAGTGCCTTTGAGCTCTAAAATTGCAATGGAGCTAAATCAATGACACTAGAAAATAAATATGATGTAACAGAATTGCACTGCTAGCAAATGGAACATATGCCATATTAAAATGCTCTTACTGGGCATTTTTGCTAGCTTATCACTGTGCTTATGGAATTCATTCTCACTGCATTCCTGATTAAAGTGGGACAGATGGTGAAGGTTTTAAGTAATGTGTTCATTACCAGACCTCATACCACTAATGGCTATTTACTGGAGCAGTGGATTGTTCAAGTGAGTAGCAAGTAGATTTTTCTCCAGGGGGCACCCACGACCAGGGCAATATTTATCAACCTTTGTGAGGATGTTCATTTTTAATTTTTACTTTCTTTTTGAATTTGTGTCTTTTTCCTATTAATACAAAAGGCCCAGTACACCCTCCCCTTATTCTGGCCCACACTCCCTCCCTGAGACACCCTACCTCACAGCCTGTCTCCTCAGTCTCTCTTTAAACCAAGATGTTGCCCAACTTTGTTCCTTATAGTTTTATTTATTTGCTTGTTTCACAAATATAAAGTATTTTAAAACCAATTTGCTTTTTTTTGTTTTGTTTTGTTTTTGAGACAGAGTCCTGCTCTATTACCCAGGCTGAAGCATAGTGGCATCATCTCAGCTCACTGCAACCTCCACTTCCCAGGTTCAAGTGATTCTCATACTTCAGCCTCCAGAGTAGCTGGGACTGCAAGCACGTGCTACCATGCCCAGCTAATTTTTGTGTTCTCTTAGGAGAGACTGGGTTTCACCATGTTGGCCAGGCTGGTCTCGAACTCCTGGCCTTAAGTGATCCTCCTGCCTCAGCCTCCCCAAATGCTGGAATTATAGGCATGAGCCACCACACCTGGCCTAAACCATCTTTTACTTTAAATAAAACTGCACATTGCCCCTCCACATCATCCCCACTTACCTCCACCCTCCAGAGATTCCAGTAGGCTGCACTTTAGAAAGTCACTGAATTATTCTGGAAGGTTGCTGCATGGCCTTACTAAGTCATGCACATCCTGTCTACTTCCTTTGTCCAAGATCTCCTGGAGACAGCCCACTATTAAGAGTTATTATCAGGGCAGGAACTAGGCCATCACTTCCCAAGAATGTCCTGCCAGGATCTGAGTCACTGAACCTTATTCTAGGGCATACTCCTCTGCCTTTGACTGTGCTTTCAGCCTCCCTAAAGGACTCATAGAGGAATTAAGAAAGGGAGATTTAGGAAGTTCCTTGAGCCTCACACAATCCAGATATACTACATTGTCATATCCACAAAAAGAGACGGGTTCATTCACAAATATATATTCAGCCCCTAGTTCTGTTACACATGGTGGTGTTCAAATATTTGTTTAGTAAACAGTCAAGTAAATATACCCCAGAACTCTGAGATGAACTAACATCTAGTATACATTTCCTAGGATCACTAGGAAATAGAAATTATCTTCTACTGTTCTTTTTCTTTTTTCTGAGATGGAGTCTCGCTATGTCACCAGGCTGGAGTGCAGTGGCACAATCTCGGTTCACTGCAACCTCCCTCCTCCTGGGTTCAAGTGATTCTCCTGCCTCAGCCTCCCAAGTAGCTGGGACTACAGGCACCTGCCACCACGCCCAGCTAATTTTTGTATTTTTAGTAGAGACAGGGTTTCACCATGTTGGCCAGGATCGTCTCGATCTCTTGACCTCATGATCCACCCACCTTGGCCTCCCAAAGTGCTGGGATTATAGGCATAAGCCACCGTGCCCAGCCTGTTCTTTTGTTAATTTGGGGGCACTAAACCTGACCCAATATTACTGGGTTTGAGATGGCATGAGCTCTACACTAAACTTAAATTTCAAGCTGGTTAATCAATCTGTTTGGTTAAGCAATTCTATTCGTTTCCCAGAATTGTCTTTCTTTCCTTAATGCAAACATTCTTTGTGCTATCTTAGTTTTATTAAGCTGTTTATTATAGGATCAAGTATTCTGCCACTACCAGGTACACATCCAAATATTACAGTTTTTCCAAAACAGCATAATTATAAACTGTCATGCCTGGATAAACTAATTGCTTAAGGATATTCTAGCCCAGTGATTCTGCTAAAGTATAACACTCAGTGACCTACCACATAATACACATGCAGCTGAATACTGTTATCTTAGAGCCACTTGATAATGGGCATATTTAATTTTTATGATTTCCTCATAGGTCCTTCACCAAGACTACGAATTCAACCAAATCACAATGTCATAAAACTTTAAATTCTTGGGAAATATTTTTAAACAAATCAAAGTTCCTTTGATAAGAAACCTAAATATTGAAATGTGATGTTTTTGAAATGATATTTATGAAATGGCATAAACCCAGGCAGACTCATAAAACAAATTAAAGCTAAAAATAACAGAGGCAAATACAATAAATATAAAAAATGTATTGGGCAATATTTACTAGTATCCAAAGCCTATATTTTTCTCTATCCCCAATTCAGTTTCAGAGATGCCAGTTTTCTCTTTGTTTTGCTATTAAAAAATAATATTCCTTGATTTGTCCAAGTTCTAAATTCTAAGGCATACATACACAAATTTACGTGTTCACCTTTTGTGTATATTTGGAATGCTAGCTAGTTAAATGAACATGGCATGAAATATTTTCAAATTTTTATTCTATTATTACTCTTCTCTAAATGTGCCTTCTTAAAGTTCCAATTTCTATAGAATGGCTTTTCTTAATGTAAACTGTATCTCTCCTAGTGCAGCCATAGGTTTTTACAAACACAAAGTAGACTTGGGTGATCAAAAATGGATACTGCACTGACTCTAATACATAAAAATGCTGTGATTACAGGGACCTGCTATATTAATACTCCTAGTAGATGGACTTTGTGCTCTTTTCCATTAGTTGCATTCACAGCCTCACCTGGTTCCCCTTTCTAAGTCATGTATTTCCTAGAAAGTGACAAATGATGATATGACTACAGTATTTGCAGAAAGGTAAGTCAATCACTACAGTATAGATCATATGAAATGTTTAAGGGAAAATTAATATTAAATGCTTCCTAAGGGCAAATACTGTAAAGAATACTTTCACTTAACATTATCTTATTTAATTTAATATCCTATTTATTTTGGTATTATTTTATTTCATTCTCATCCTAACCCTGTCAGTAAGAAAATCCTCTAATTCTCCAGGGCTGTACCTTTTCCATTCTCTGTACAAGGTTCTCCAATTCTGTAATTTGACTGTGTTTTTCTTCAAGTTTTTCAGCAACTTGATTCAGATTTTCAACATGTTGTTTCAATTTTTGTTCTTTTTCAAGCTTGTTAACCTATGGTCAGAGAAACAGTTGTGTTGTGAAAACTCTGTTTTTATTAAACCTATACACATATTACCTCTTTCTACAATTTTCTAATTAGCCAAAAAAATTCAGAATTCATACTTGCTTAGAATTGCTCTTTTTGAATTCAGTGTTTCCTTCAAAATAACCCTGATAGACTACAACAACATTAAATCAAGAATTAATATTATAATAAACATAAATATCCTTCCTAGAATGCTTCCATTTGTTACCATAAAGCATACTTTCTGAATTGATACAAGAGAGAAAGATGCTAATTTAACAAAAGCAACATTGTTGACTTTTTCTCAACAATTATTATCCAGAACCAAAAAAAACCATACAGGTTCAATTAAAACACTTTTTATTTTTAATCAGAAAGTGTCATAAAATCAGAATAACTCTCCTCAGCGTGTCACCGTGCTACTTCACAGGCATAGAGCAGGGGTTGTGCTGAGGGATCATAGGAGAGAAGTTTCCATCTAGCAGGTAATAGGCTACAGTGGGACTGTGTCGACTAACTTGTTACTCTTCTGCATGTGTATTTAACAAAGCTTGACATTTCACAGGGAAAAATAAGTGTCTGGCTTCCTTTGTAAGTACCAAGCGGGCCTTTCAGTCAGTTCACTCCAGGCTAGTGCCGAGCCCACATTACAGGGATGCATGCTTCTTGTCCCCACAAGCCCCCCCCCCCATAGCATAGCACCCTCATCAGCTTCCCGCTTATGTTCTTCATCTGCACCCTGCATGCATGTGAGTATGCAACCATCACTACCACAGCTTGATGCATGAAAGGGTGTCACCTAGGCAGTGAATTTCCTACTGTACTCCCCTGGGGACCTTCCTACAGCCTGAGCTGACAGACACCTGGGTGCCCCAAACTATTATGAGTGAACTTACCTATTAGCTGTTTTATATTTTTAATTTTGGCAAACACACACATACAGGCATACACACACTTTTTTGACTTCTCCAGTTCTAGAATATATTTTTCAGACAGATTTTATTGGCCCTAGTGTATACACTTCAGATTTAAAAACAAATGAACAAAAAAGAACATGTATAAGTGTATGTACATTTTTATTTTTAAAATTTATATATTTACATATTAAAATATAAAAATATATAACATATATTATATATTATTTATTATACTTTATATATAATATAATTTATTATATATAACTATATATTTTAAAAATATATATCTTTATATATTTTTAAAAACATATAGATACATATTTTGTTTTCTATTTTCTATAACCCAAAGTATGTATCCTAAGTCCAAAACAATTTTGAAATCATGTGTCTAGCCCAACTCTTTCATTCTAGAGACAAGGACACCCAAATCCAGACAGGAAGAATGGCTCAGTCTGGGTCATCTAGCAAGTCAATGGCAAAACCCGAAGAGAGGTTACCAGTCAGGCTCCGCAGGGCCAGCCCAGATTTCCAGGCAGGGTGGCACTGCCTCCCTCCCACCTGTGCTCATGGGGGATCGGGCAACAACTGCAACACAGCAGCTCAGCAACATCTGGGGGTGTCGGGCTAAGCAGGGGCGAGGGAAACTGGCAGAAAAGACTAGCACACCGCTCCTTTCCCAAGTCTTTTGCCAAGTCACTTGGCCATTGCTTGTTTCATTTCTAACTCTTCCAGAAAGATGAACTTGAACAGCTCAGGGTGGGGGCTAGTTCTCCCATAGACAAGCTGCGTGTTTGGTACCTGGAGTAAGTGTTTACTGTCCTCATGCTTCTTTCTCACTTCTTCAGACTGTGTTTGGTAGTTTTCAAATAATCTCCGGGCCACGTTTCTCAGAGCTGCTGCTCCTGCTTCTCTGGAGGCTTCCAGCTAGAAAAAAGGTCACTATGCATGTTCTGACATTTACAACAAAAAACTTTAAAGGCAGAACAGTTTGATGGGCAATTAAGAACACCAAGGGTATAACTATACCTTTTACAGCCTCATAGACAATGGATAGGAGAGAAGACACTGTTATTTGATAAGAGGAAAATGTAAAAGGAGAAACTCCCTATTTAGAGGGGCTGTTGAAAAGGCAGATTTGCCATAGTCAAACCAAACCAGAGCTCTGTGCACAGTAATGCCCTGCAGTGATAGTCCTCACTGTTCAGATAACTCTATGCTGCTCTGTCAGCTTATACACTTATTTGCAAGCCTTTTATCATTAATGTCCATAACAGTGTTAAAAAGTGTATCTTCCTGAAATAGAAGTGGGACAAGGTTAAAGTATTGAGGACAATAATGCTAAAATGTCATGAATCTTTCCGGGATTTAACCTGAGGAAACAATCAAGAATGACTATAAAGATTTCCCTATCAAGATATTCATTGCAGGACTGCATATAAAATAAACCTTAAAGAAGAAAATCAAAAGCATTCAGCAATAGACAAATTTTAAAAATATTGTGGCATCTGACTATGAAGGCTATAATTAATATTTATTAAATATGAACACACTTTTAAAAATGTATTGTGGATTGTGGTAAGAACACTTAACATGAGATCTACTAAGTGTGTACAGTACAGTATTGTGAACTATAGGCATAATGTTATGCAGTAGATGTCTAGTCATCTTGCATGACTGAAATTGTATAACTGTTGAACTTTTGTGAGATATTTTTAATAACAAAAGAAGCCTCAAAAATAAAACAGTGAGATATGATTTGTGAAATATAAAAATGCTTCTCTATGTAAGGGAACACACAGATGGACCTATGGATGTGTGTACACATCTCTCTGCTTTTACAGAGCCACCAATGCTAACAACCCATCCTATTAGCGCAAAGGCTCAAAACACAGAATTTGAAACTTCTAACAGTCATACCTTGATTTTCAATACTTCATTCTCTTTGTGCATTTCTAAGAGCTGTAGGTCTTTTCCTTTTATCTTTTTCATGAGCAAATCCAAACTGCAACAAGAAGGATCCATCTCAGAATCAGAGCCCTGTTGAAGGTTTCCACAGTGCTGAAACAGACAAATGACAATCATAGACCTAACTATCTTTTCCTCTACAAGCTTTGACAACAGTAATGATCATTTAGTATTACGTATAGCAAAGAGGCTTCAGGTCAGCATAAATAAACATCTTTTGAATCTCAAATATCAATGAGAAATTCTGGAAGCACCTGTCTTCTATATTTGCTCAAATTTGAACAGATTCTTATATTGAAAGAGGTAGAATGACATTTTAACTTTTATATTTTCTATAGTTTCAAATATACTGATAAGTGCTTTTTAGGAGATAAATAATGTCCACAAGGCCAGACATTTTTAAAAAATCTAAGTTGTTGACATAATTACATTTTTGTTACATTGCATTATAGACTAACAGTCAGACCTAACAGTTACAATACATAATGGTCAATGTTTGGTGATGCTTCACTGTAATTACCTCATATTAAATTTCCAATCAGAGATATCAGAACTGAATGGCACTGCCATTATAACTTGATGTAAGCTCTAGCTTACTGAAAATACACTTGGAACATAAATATCATCTGGAATTGTGGACACACGGAGGTGAAAAAGAAATAATAAACCATCTAACTTAACCTGTCCATTTTACAGCTGTAGAAACTGAGGACCAGGGCCCAAGTTTCTGCAGCAAAGGAGTGGGAGAGTTCCTGGCACAGCCTCTTGAATAGTTATTGTGTGCTCTTTCTGTTCTTTCAATTTATTTCAAAACAGAGAAACTATTCACAATTACACATACCCTACAATTATAATAACAACTTCTATTTGTTAAACACCTGTTATGTGCCTGCTCATCTTTTACATGTTTTACATACAGTCCTTTGTCTGAATACTGAAAACACTGGAAGGCACTAGGCCCTTTACACAGGTGAGGAATTTGAAGATGAAAGTTTAACGAACACACCTAGGGTTATACCTAAAATAACTGCCAGACCAGAATTAGAATCCCAGTTTGTTTAACAACAAAATATATAATATTTTCACTATAATATAATAACTACGACTGTAGAAATAAATAACAAAAAGAACATAGTGTATGTGGATAACATCCTCCCTCACCATAACTCTGCCACAATTTGGTTTCTTATAGTCCAGACCCTAGTGCATATTTCTACTCTCCATATACAAAGTAGGAATTATTTTCTCTTTTAATTTGTTAAAGAATATTTGACAGAAAAAACTCTTGTAGAAGGTAGATTATCAGCAGTGGCAGATGGCTACAAAGATCATTGATCAGTGCTTTTCAAACTTCAATATGCCTATGAATTACTGGGTGATAGATCTGGTTAAAAAATGCAGATTCTGAATCAGGTCTGGGGTAGAGCCTAGATGTTCCGTTTCTAACATGCTCCCGGTGATGCTGTGCTGCTCGGACTGCAGACCACACTTGAGAGTAGCAAGGCCCCAGATCACTATGGTGAAATCTCTACAGGGCCAGAGGGCTAATGTTTTGATGCATGGTGGATCTGCTGACCTTCTGTGGACTGAGGTAGCTGAGGCAGACACACAGCAACACAATGTCAACATTACTAGGAAGCTCCTCCTATCTATGGTGGGCATTTGGTCCTCAATTTCCTTGGCCCATGGACAGCATTTGACAGGGGTGTCCCGCCCTGCTTCTGAAACCCTCTCCTCATTTGCCTTCAGTGACTCCTGCTACAGTGGCCTTGACAGGAGTAGCTTCAAACCACAAAAGGTGAGCAGATCAACCACACATCAAATCACCAGCCCTCTGGCCCTGTAGAGACTTCGCCATGATAATCTAGAGAGTACTCTCAAGTGTGGTCTACAGTCCCAGCAGCTCAGCATCAACAGGAGCTTGTTAGAAATGCAGCATCTAGGCTCTACCCTAGAGCTTTGAAATCTCCTGTTCCTTCTAATCCACCAGCCTGATCTCAGCTTCCTGGGATGGTTCTTCTTCCTAACATCTCAACATTGGGAATGGGCATCTACTTGGAGGTCTAACAGGCAGCTCAACATAGCCCAAACTGAATTTTTTAATCTTCCCTCTCATTCCTAAACATAACCTTGTTTTCTAGTTTAGAAGTACTTTAAATAATAATGGAAGCTAGTTATGTTAGTGTGGGAGGCTGAGGGTGATGAAAATGACTACATTTATGCATCATACCCCACGTTATGGTGGACTCTGTGGCCATGCTTATAGTGGACAACACTGATGAAGTACACTTGGCTCAGATGTGGTTTAGCTTGGTGTAATCCAGGCAAAGCTAAGTGCAGATTGCTCGACCTTAGGTATATAAAGCTGATGTTGGGGAAGGGAGTGCATTCAAGCTTATCAACTATTTATCTGACAAAGTCTTCACTCAACTCAGGCCTAAAAGCTTCAACTGTGTTTGTCTATTTGTGTGGCCCACGTGAGACTAAAAGCTCTGCCTGTCATTGGGAAATGTTGCTGTCATGAATCTTGGCTAGACCAACATGTTCTCATTTACTTTCGATAAGTAAGCCTTGTTTAACATATTCAAGTAAGGTCTAGCCATTCCAATTTGATCTCATAACATTTGTGGTTAAACATTTCACACATATGGCCATTAACATCTTTAGATATGCATGAAATATTTCAACACTCATCCTTTGAAGCTTCAATGAACTTAGTAATTGCCCAAAAAGTTACTTTAAAAAGTCTAAATGGCTTTATGCTAATCTTCTGCAGGAAATTATTACCTTTGTATCTAGTTTGTTATTTGTACTGTCATGTCTTATTTCATCTTTAAACATTTGGGTTCTGATCTTTTCCAGAGTGGTTCGAATCTAGAAAAGGAAAAAAAAATTAATTCGTTTCAAAGGCATTTAATGCCGAAAGTTTTTTCTCAATACCAGTTACAGGGTACCTGATTACCTAGAAAGTAATACATATATATTGATATCAGATTTAAATAACTGCCACCATCAACCTAACTTGCATTTAGGCTAATATTGTTTGGATTGCTGAAAGTAAGCATTTGGTCTTTACAACTCTTTCTCAGACAAATCTAAAACACATCACTTAAGTAAATATTATCCCCAAAACAGTTATTATTTAGTAATTAGTACTTAATATTATTTAGTTTTGTTTTGTCTTTTTAGTAATTTAGTACTAATTTACTGTTTAGTAATTACTATAAAACAATTACTACTTAGTAATCACTATAAAATAATTACTATCTACTAATTACTACAAAATAATTACTACCTAGTAATTACTACAAAATAATTACTATTAAGTAATTACTACAGAATAATTACTGAGAGATCACATGCATTTATGCATGAAATATAAGCCCCATGTCTTGATGACCTATGGAGTTGCAAGACACTCAAAGATGATGGAATTAATTGATCTGAGCAAGTTATAAACTATGCCAGAATTTGTCCATTATTTAATTAAATAATCCAAAAAGGTAAAATGTGAAATTTCTCTTTTTATTCAGTATCCTCTTAGATTGTCAGACTGTGAGAGTAGGAGCGAGGTTTATACTCTAGCACATTTTTAAATTTTTTATTATTATAATTTTTTTTTTGAGACAGAGTCTCACTCTGTCACCCAAGCTGAAGTGCAATGGTGCAATCTCCACTCACTGTAACCTCTGCCACCTGGGTTCAAGTGATTCTCCTGCATCAGCCCCCCAAGTAGTTGGGATTACAGGCGCCCACCACCACGCCTGGCTAATTTTTTTGTATTTTTAGTAGAGACAGGGTTTTGCCATGTTGGTCAGGCTGGTCTCAAACTCCTGACCTCAGGTGATCCACCTGCCTCAGCCTCCCAAAGTGCTGGGATTACAGGCATGAGCCACTGTACCTGGCCTACTCTGGCACATTTTAAGTGCTTAATACATGTCTGTTGTAAGAAACAGTTAAGAATATATATTTCTTGTCAGCCATTATCATTTTGGATTCTCATAAGACTTCACACGTTTAATGAAGTGACATGCCAACCCGCAGTCACTGGCAATAGTTACCCTGAACTTTGAAAAGGAACAAGGTAACAAGAGGCACCAACTCAGCAGGAAATGTAAACATCTACTTGGGAACACGATCAACACTCGTGAAACCACTGGAAAACATTATAAAACAGTAGGAAATCCAGTGGTGAATAGTGAGGGACAAATTAAGTGCTGATAGGTGTTCTGAACCCTCCTGGCCCATTATTCAATTTTACTGAGTGAGGAAAATTATTTTACTCCAAGGGTAGGAACAGTTTCATATCCTCAAGAGAAATGACTAAACATGGGTTTAAATTTCAGCTAGGAAGAGTGTCCTTTGCCAAATTAGAGTTGTTCCTTTACATATGTTCTATGGAGAGGGAAACAAAGTCCTCCAGCCCATATTGGAATTTCTCTTTAAAAATCATATCATACTAATGATTTCTGCTACCCACATACCTTTTTCACATACTCGGTTTCTTCAATAATGTGAGCGGACGTAGACTCATACAAGGCAGAATTATCTTCCATCTTATCCCTTGGCGGAATTTCTGTGGTCACTGTCACCGTTGTCATCGTGAATTCTGGCTTTAAGAAAACATAAATCAGCTAAGCAAAACAGACTGTTTTGATTGTATGATTATATGGTTCATAAACTGAAATAAGTTGTTTTATCACTATGGTGAAATATAGCAGAAAAGCTATAAATCATTGGTATCTGTATATAGCCATAAATCCAGGAATTAACTTCATATAAAGCCATATCATCTGAAGGAATCTTGAATTAAAAATTTCACATTTAAATAATCTAAGAAGGTAAATCTGAAATTTCTCTTTTTATTCAGTATCATCTCAGACTGGAAAAATCTAAAATCTCAGACTGTAAAAAGGAATGAGGTTTATAGATAGTCTAGCACATTGTAAGCACATAATAAATGTAGAATTAACATGATACAATTATAACAACATTATATTTTTTTGTGTGTGTTTGTATCTTCATACATAGTCCGTGAAGGTGATTTACTATTAGGAGAACTAATAGTAAGAGTCTGGAAAAACCCCATGCCAACAAGAAGAGGATAGATTAAATAAACTATCAACTGCTAAAGAGTCATCACTAGGATGTATTATTATCTCATGAAAAAGCATAGAGCAGAACAGAATATATAATATCATATTTTCTACAAGAAGGGTAGGAAATAGGAATGGAAGGAAGAAATCTGTGTCTTAAGGTTTTAATACTAAACCACGTATATATTTTATTTAACTATGAAATAAAATTGACAGAAAAAGTAATCGTCCAAAATAAAGGTGAAATGAAATAAATTAAACAAATAAATATATCTGTATATCAAGTTCTGTAACCACAAGAATTATTCAAGTGATTAAAAATGACATACCAGGAACTATCGATCCCTGCTGTGCTATATTCTAAGAACAAAAAGAACAGCAAAACAATCTTGAACAAATATTCACTCATAATATTATTAGTGGAAATATTGGTATTGCTATTTTGAACTGCGAACTGTGTTTGTGTGTGTTTATGTACACAGGTTCGCACTGTAGAATAAAGCCAACAGGTAATTGTGTTAACATCATGAAGAATCAAGCTATTTAGCATAAAAGAAAAAATAAAATAAAGAACAAAAATGTTAGGTGAAGCTGGGCATGGTGGCTCACATCTGTAATCCCAGCATTTTGGGAGGCCAAGGTGGACCGATCACTTGAGGTCAGGAGTCTGAGACTAGCCTGGCCAACATGGTGAAACCTCGTCTCTACTAAAAATACAAAAATTAGCTGGGCACGGTACACGTGTGTAATCCCAGCTACTTGGGAGGCTGAGGCACGAGAATCACTTGAACCCAGGAGGTAGAAAATAATGATTTCTTTTCCTTAAAATAATATATATTCTACCTTTATTCACCGATAAACCTAGAAATAGTAGTGGTTAGCATCCCTCATTGCCAGACTGTAGTCTTTGAATATCATATCCTACTAAAAAGAAACTAGGACTTCTTGACTGATCCAGGTCTGGGGTAAGAAATATGTAAAGTGAGCCTATAATTATTATTTACTATAATAAATAGTAAATAACCAATAAGCAAACTATAATAAAAAGCCCTGTGAGGTAGGATTATTAATCCTCTGTTACTGATAAGAAGCCAAGACTCCACTCCCATAGTGACATTAACTTACCCAAGATGAAGTAAAATTAAGAGCTAAAACTCCAACCTTGGTCTTTTAGAAGTTCAGAGATGTTTCCATTATATTAAGACTGGCTTCCCTGGAGAGAAACAATAACAACAACAAAATATTTAAAATCTAACAATGACCTAGGCTGGAAAAAAACAAAGAATTTGCATATTTGAGAGCATCACTTTGAAACAAGATCACTTCTGGGGACACTACAAAGTCCTTTAATCTTCAATAAAATTGACAGAATATGCCAAGAATTTTCCATTTTATTATAAATCCTCTTAGCAGCTATGGCTTCTATTAAATATTTGTTTCAGCAGAAGTTGATTTGGCAGCAGCAACTCTGCAAGTGTGCTTTTGCAAACTACGAGTGGAAGTACGTCTCTTACTGGGTCCTCTGAAGTCTCTTCCGGGATTAAGATATTGGTGCAAAACAACATTTAAATGCTTGAAGTAAGAGAAACACCCATAGGGTCAATACGCAGTACGCTTGGAAGCCAGGGAGACGATGGTCAGGCCAGGGTAGGGGTCAGCAAACCCCAGCCTGGGAGCTCAATCTGGTTTCCCTCCTGTTTGTACAGCCCCAGAGCTAAGAATGGTTCTTACATTTTTGAATGGTCAAACAAAAAATCAAAAGAAGAATAACATTTCATGGTACATGAAAATTATATGAATTTCAAATTTAGTATTCATAAAAATGGTTGAAAAAAATCAAAGGATAACATTTCATGACACATGAAAATTATATGAAGTTCAAACGTAGTGCCCATAAATGAAGTTTTACTCTAATGCAACATGGCCATTTGTGTCCATATCTTTTGTGTAGCTCTGGCACCACAAACAGCAGAGTTCAGTAGTTGTGACAGAGAAAGTATGTGGCAGGCAACGCCTACAGTATTTCCTATCTGGCCCTTTACAGGAAACGTTTGCTGACCTCTGGGTTAGGGCTTGGCAAGGAGTGGGGCAGGACCAGTGGGAAAATAGAGGCAAGCAAAGCAATCGATCTGGCCTGAGTTGGTTTTTTCCTCCAGTACAGTACCCTTGATCTACAGTCCCCTTTGACTGATTTACTTTCATTTTCCTTTTCGTATGTTATGCAGTGTGTACATTAACAGATGATAAGAGGCATTTTATCACAGGAATGAATCACTCTTTAGAATGAATCTGTCTGCATTCTCAGGCTCTTTCATAATTTGAAAATTGCATCGGGCCTTACGTCTTTTATCCTAAAATATACTCTTGTATGTACCTTTTATTCTTAAAATCAAGGAATTTTGTCTCTTGATCACTGATATTTCTGAAAACTTCCCACCTTTTCCCCTCACTGGTTGGGCCATGTTAAACAAGTTACATAAAATCTTAGTTTTCACTTAAATAGCTGTCAGATAGGGGTGATAACACCTAGAGATATGAAAATGAAGTTTTTGTGTTTTTTTTTTTTTTAATGCCTGCTAACAGAAGGCACTCAATGGACTGTCACTGGCAATATTGTTACCCTGTTATTTTATATTATCAATAGCCACAGAAGACAAGCAGGGCAGGTAGTTCACCTCTATCTGGTTGCAAAGCTTTATAACTGTATCCATATGAAATTAAATTCCATATCTGTCTTTGGTTCAGAAAACTTTTGTACCCAGAGTCCTTGGTTCGTAGAAAGAAACCCAAGGGGAACACAAGCCGGCAAAGTCCAAATTGCCATATGGCATTACTATCCTGGGGAAAATCCATGTTAGCATTTTATTTCAGCCAGAAGTAGATTAAGGGGATAAAAATTTCAAAATAAATCACAATCAGTTAATTAAAGTAAGGAAATACTTTTCTTTGTCTTATGCTAGAATGGATTGAAGACAGCTTACAGGTGGCATCACGCCAAGAGGAGGTATTTCCTAGACAAGGGCCTTTCAAACAGGGCTCCCAGGGAGGAGGCGGAGGGCTGCTGAACAGACAGAGCTCTGCCACCTCAACTTCAACCACAGCAGCTCTGCTTTGTTCTGTCACACACACTGAATTTTCCCATGAGGCTTTCTGTGAAGAAAGAGGGTTCCACAGCCGAAACAGTTTAGAGGCAGCCTGCCTAGTCTCATGGCTCCATTCTGCCACTCCGTACCTGTGTGACCTCTATCAAGTCCCTTAACTGCTCTGTGCCTCAGTTTCCTTAACAGTAAAATGAAAATAATATTAATTCTTAACAACAATAATCAATGTGGGGTTGTTCATGAGTTAATATTTGTCAAGCACTTACAGCAGCACATATAATATATAATAAATTATTTGTACATATTTGTCAAACAAGTACTTAAAATATGAAACCATTATCCACAATTAAGGCTGACAAGCAATCTGAGTGGTTTCCTTTCTTCCAGGAAAGAAGCAGGTTATATTTTAAATAATCTGCAGACTGAACTGGGCTATGAAGGAAAAATTGCTTTGGAGGACTTTAAGACTAGCAAATCCGTGGAACAAATTCCTTATTGCTAATACACTGATTATTTGTCAGTTTCCTCAAACAATGATGCTACCATCTAATGAAGAGTTTACAATCCACAAAGCAATGTACACATATTATTGTGAATTGTAATCCATATGATAAACCACCACACCACCAGGCACCCAGGAGAATCTACCTGAACCTTGTGCTCTGGTTAATGACATGAGAACAGCAGAAGTTTTATACAATAAACACAAACAAGTGCCTGTGACGGGTTGAACTGTGTCCTCCCTCCAAATTCATGTTAAAGTCCTAACCCCCAGTTCCTCAGAATGGGATCTTATTTAGAAATAAGGTTTTGCAGGTGTAATTAGTTAAGTAAACATGAGGTCAGGTACTGGAGTAGGGGCGATCCCTACTCCAATATGCCTGATATCCTTATGAAAATGAGCAATGTGGCGAGAGACGAGAACACCGAATGCCCTGTGAAAATGAAGGCAGAGATGTAGCGATGCTTCTATATGCCAAGGAACATCAACCATTACTAGCAAACCACTAGCAGGGGAGAGGCACGAAACAGATCTTGCTCACATCCCTGCAGACACCTTGATCTTGAACTTCCAGGCTCTAGAACTGAGAGATGATCCATTTCCCTGTTCAAGCCACTCCGTGTGTGGTACTTTGTTAGAGCAACCCTAGAAAAAGATTACACACACTGTTCATATTGTAGAGACTGTAACAAGGGTGTTTCCCTTCTTTACTTGACCCTTGATTCATTTATTGAGAGAGTAAATATTTACAGAAAGCCACTGTGTTAGGAACTGTGGTTACAGGGCTGAGCCAAAGACCATAGTTTCATAGGATTTTCAGTACAGAGCGAGAGACAGACATTAAACAAACAGGTAAATATAGAGGGAGTCTAAGGGAGGCTGTGATGAGTGACATGAAGAAAGTCCATCAGGGGACTGAGGGTAAAAGGAGGTGCTGTTCTAGATGAGCAGTGAGGGAAGCTGATCTGAGGAGTTGGTATTTGAGCAAAAGATGAAGAAATCAAGTGCAAGCCGTGTGGCTCTCTAGGATCTAGGAGAAGAGAGTTCCAGGCAAATGGGAAAGCAAGAGCAGAGGCTGGCATGTACCTAGAGCAGTGTTCTGATTTTTGTTGTTGTTGTTGTTGTTTGTTTTTTGTTTTTTTTTTGAAACAGGGTCTCACTCTTGTCCAGGTTTGAGTGGAGTGGCATGATCTCTGCTTACTTCAACCTCCACTTTCTGGATTCCAGTGATTCTCGTGCCTCAGCTTCCCAAGTAGCTGGGATTACAGAGGTGAACCACTACACCCAGCTAATTTTTTTGTATTTTTACTAGAGATGGGGTTTCGCCCTGTTGGCCAGACTGGTCTTGAATTACTGGCCTCAAGTGATCCACCCACCTTGGCCTCCCAAAGTGCTGGGATTACAGGCATGAGTCATGGCACCCGGTCGCTAGAGTAGTGTTCTAAGGAAACCACGGCACACAGCAAAGTCTACCATTTTCTTTTCTTTTAATGTTGCAAGACCTTTTTCTTTTTGACCTAAACTTTTTGAGACTTCCAGTTTGCCTAAGGAGTTGTCTCCTTGGCCACATTAAAACAGGCTTAGCCGTTGCTATTACGGATCCCCCAGGATTGAGGCAAAGACAAGAGTGAAGCTGCCAGGTACTGCAAGGTATAAACAACTGACCCCAGGTCAGCCCAGAGAAGGGGCAACAAAATCTGATTGACCACACAGAGGTATTCTTCACTCACATCTGGGGCCTGCTGATTGAAAAGCACCATGTTGGATGTCTGGCAGGTTTTGGCTAGCTAGTGCTTGAATCTCCTTCCCAGATATGCTGAGGCACCGTCTGTATGAGTCTTGCAGGAAAGGTCTCTTGTTCATGCTCACTCCTTGGAGCTAGGGCATAGGGACAACACCTAGAATCAGCCAAATGAGAGCTCCCGCTGGAAGTGCAACTCAGGGAATGGCCATCTGGCTGGTTGGAGCTGGAGGCAGTGGAAATCCAGTCATTGTTCAGGAAAGGGGGGGGGTCTGTGACACAGAGTGGTGCTTCAAGTGGCAGCAAATTCAGTGGCAGTATCCAGTGGTCAGTGGCTAGTGGCTATGTCAGGAGGACCCTAACTCCTCATCCCACAACCTGATTTCACTGGTGTCCTAGTATATGAGATCCTCCCATTTTCCAAACCTAGTTTTTCAACATTCCCATCAATTCCAGTAGCTGCTCTATATCCTCTCAGTAAATTCTTCTTCTACTAAGTCAGCCAGAATCAATTACTCCGGATGGCAATCAAGAGCCCTGCTTGGTTTCAGTACAGTTTCTGAGTTTTAAGGTTTTCGTTTCCTGGTTCTAAGGGATTATTTGTTCATTTTTGATTGCTATTTTATAGAGCTTGAATATTAGAAACTGAAAAAGTAAGTGACTACAAAAGTGCCACAAGGATAATTGGGTTATATGAGGGAAAACAGCGAACATATCTCCAAACCTTTGATGAGACTAACTGTGCCCTGAATACTAAATAGCACACCTGTTCTGCAGCTACTTTATGCAGCACAATGGTGACATCCAGTGTCAGCTGGCTAAATCTCAGGTGACTGTGCAGTTTACCTGAAAATGACACACAGTATACG